TCTGTACCAAAAGAAAAATATGCTCAGTCAATTTACAAAATTATTATATAGACAGAAGATCACTGTTAGATTTCCTAGAGTTGCCAAAACTACTATGGTTGTTGTTGTTTTAAAAAATGTGCTTTGAATTACTTTGGGATATGGGCCAAAGGTTCAATATGTGTCCCATCAGCTCATGATTTGGATAAAGTGGTAGTTTCTAAGCTACATAAAATCAATTTCAGGGTCAACTGATAGAAGAAACATAAAATCATGTCTCTGAGAGTTTATTCCATGGTATAAGTGAGTGAAAATAATTGAGTAGCACTAGAAAGAGAGAAGGATAGGACTACAATGGCAGTCTTCCTTAAACAACAGTGTTACAACAGGGCATCATAACCCAGACATCATATCTGGGAATGGCTAGTTGAACCCCAGTACCATCCAATCCTCATCTTTTTATCAGGTGACAATACAGCCACCCAAAGTCATTGTGTGTAAATAATAAAAAGTGTAAATGTGTTAATCTATATAAACACAACTCCATTCTTAACAAAAGAAACTGATATCCACACATTCGTGCTTCTGTACAATTCGGGATAATATATAATTTTAGCTGTTTACAAATAACATGTTATGCTTCAAATATTACATAAGGTTGATAATACATTTCTGGCAGAAATAAATATATTGCACTTAAACAGAACTTCATTAGATGTTACTTCATAGTATTAGGCTTATAATTTTCCCCATAAAACATTTCCCACTCCCTTCCCCCACCCCACACTGCATTACAGTGACTTTTCCACGCAATTCATTAAGCAAATGAAGACACAGCAAACAAGGAGACCTTGACAAAGTCTGCCAAACAGGTGATACAGAATGTCATACTTTAGCAAATAAAAGAAACTTTTCAGATTTCTGAAAATTAAAAAGAAAGCAACTTAATACAATATGTTTTGTGTCAAAAGTAAAATACAATAAATTGTATCTTTTGTCCAGATGTACTATTACAACACACACACACACACACACACACACACACACACACACTTTATTTTCTTTACAGGACACTTTCTTTAAACAGGGAAGAGATTGAAATTTTATGAGAAAGAGAGAGGCAGATAAAGAAAGCTGGAAAATACTTATGGATTATTACCCCATCAAATACTTACAAATGAGCCTTCCTATACTTAGCTTGCAGGGTAAAGGTAAGTGTTTTAGTATTTTATAACTGGTATACAATAGTAAGCTGTGACGAAAGGGTTTTATATTTCCTTAATGTTTTAAAAGTTCATAACCTTCCTTTTACTTTTTTTACAGCAATGCCTTTCATTCTAAGACAATACAAAAATGTGTATAAAACCCATACTTCCCGCAGTAACTCTCTAGAGGAACAAGCTAAAAATTTTTTTCTTTTATCTATTGCTTTGTCAGAGTATTGTTTTGCTTGTAATAATTATCACTTCCCTGCCCATTTAACAGTGGAAGTATTTTTTCTTTCTCAATAGAATAACGAGTAAAAACATGAGTTTTAATGCAGTGTGTTAGCCTGCTCATTGACTAGCTCACCACTGTGCTGCACTTGCCTGTCTATCTAATGAAGTGGAATGTCCTCCCATCCATTTTATTTATAGATGATTTTTCTCAGTATAATTGTCCTTTGTCCTTCACATAAGCAATGTAGCTTGAAAAGTTATTCTGAATTAGAGAAATAGGATAAATATCCTAACATCTTTCCGAAACACTCATAGGCAATTAACACATGAGGTTTCATTTCTAATATTTCTTGAGCATGTAAAGGGTTTCCTTTCTTTTAATTATTGTGTTTGGGGAGGGGAGTGTTGTATCTATAGCAGGAAAATGGCAGACATTTGGCCAGTTGTTTGGGGAGGTGAGATCTTGGAATGGCCCAGAAGCCAGTACAGCTCTTACACAAAGTTTCTGCTGCGTGATGAATCCCTATCAAGAGATTTTTACATCTCTGTACCCACTCACTGAGATTGCTGGCAACCCTTCCAGACAATTTGCCCTTCTTACAAGCTGCAAAGGTCAGTAATGGAGCAGAAAGCCACTGAGCTAGACAATGTTACCTAACAGTTGTTGACATGCTACACATAACTGGATGTATTTCCACAAGAACTACTAAGAACAGGAAGTGCTGGGATGGTTTACTGAATAAAGAACTGGCACAACTCATCTTAGAATTATTGAGGTATATTTTAAACCAGAGTATAAGTCAGAATCCAGTGTATTCCGAATGAGTTCCTCAGAGCTCCATAAGCCTGACCCAGAATCTTCAGCAGCACTGTGCTTGAACATGCAAAGGGGAAGCCCTGATTTTATTCCAGATGTATTTTAAGTCTTGGTCATAATTAGTCGACTGGTTTTTCCTATCAACTGGATTTACCTGCTAATATCCAATTCTCTCTTCAATTTTGGTGGAACCAGCATTGGGATTTTAAATAGTAAAATCCCCAGGGATTAATAAGTATTGACAACCAGAATAAATCCAAAAGTTACAGGTGGTTCATAGGCTAAAGTGCCAGGCACTCATATGACCCCACTTTCCTGGGTGGCTTCTGTCTGGTTCATGTAATACCAACCTGGGAAACAAACATCCAATTAGGAATTTCAGGGAGAAAATTTTTCAAGAGCCCATTTTGCTGGTTGTCATGCACTCCATTCAGTTTCATCCTTGTATTGCCAAATTACAGGCAAAAATTCCAAGAAATACTGGCAAAACATCATATTTAACAAAATTTTTAAAAAAAACCCACAAACCTACTGTGAGGCACACAGATTGGGAAAACTATGAAAACAGTATCAAAACAATCCTTTCATTCTCATGGGAAAAGAAAATGAAGACACATACTCACTTTAATATCTGGGCACTATCGGGGGGAGGGGCTGAGGAGCACCCTGAACAATAGTGTCTCGGTTTTTCCTGCAGCACTTTATTCCAAGGTACTTTTGCAAAAGGCCAATCATTAAATAGCAATCCCCTATCCCACCTCTATAGGCAGTTATTTTAAACATCAGTCACAATTGTTTTTTTGTTTGTTTGTTTGTTTGTTTTAAGAGAAATGCATGTCTGTACTTGTCTGGAAACCAACTATTTATGGATACGACTGCCTGACAGTGGCACACAAGCAGCCACCGGCGTCTGATGTGGGAGTTTAAAATGGTTTTGTTGACAGTTCATGCTGATTTATAAGACAGCTACGGACTTTCGTAGAGAGTATCAAGTGCAAAATCTAAAGCCAGCCTCCTGCACTCAGGCTGTGTGTGGTTCCTTGTTCCATAGGTTGGACTTGGCCTGAAAAGTTATCCAACATGGAAAAGCCTAACAAAACTATCAAATAAAATTGCTAAATGATATGGTAAGTATATTGCATTTATGCCTAAATACATTTCTACTGTCAGGAGTGCTATTTCCCATATCTGCTAGTACATTCAATACATTTGACACAGGAATAGAGTAGAATGAAAACTACATATGAAATTTAAACTAAAATGAAGTTCAGGGGAACTTTGTGAAGCAAACCAGTCACGTTCTAAACATGGGACACATTGTCTTCAAAGCTGAAGGTGTAGTGACTTTAATAAATCTATATTATTAGGGAAATGTATTATTGCAAAATACCAGATTTGTGGCCCTGCCTGTAAATGGTAAGATACATGTTGTCCAAAATTAACATTTGGTTATACAGAAGTAAAATATAATCTCTAGTGTGTTTATAAAGGAGAAGCTTACGAAGGAAGCAAGAGCTAGATGAAGCTCTAGTCTGCTGGTCAGAACTGTTAGTGTTTCTGTCAGGGAGTCACTGAAGTAACATGCAATTTCATGTCAGCCACTGGGGAAAATGGAAGGGAGTCTGTAAATATGTCACAGATAGATAAGAGAAGTCAGATGCAGGGTACACCCATGCCCATAGGCAAACATGAAATCATAGTGAGCTACAGTGGGAGACTAGTCATTGGCAAAACCCTGATGATGACGGCAACAGCTATAAAGCATATTTATAAAAAAAAGTAAAATAAAATTTGGCCCAGTGTGTTTTAATATGCAAAAGATTGCCCTAACCTGAAGTGAAGATGAAGAGGACTTTGGCTCCCATGGCAGAGAAATTCCCCTCAGAAGAGAACCACCATGTTTTGATTATAGCCTGTAAAGGAGAAACTCACCCATCACCATGCATGGGCTATGGAGGGGTCCTCAGTGGTCACACCAGCAGCCTATTGTGAATGCAGCACCCCAAAAGCCAACCTCTTTGATAATAACAAAGCTTCTTACTTTAAAATAGCATACAGAGGGTTTCCCCTACAAAGTTTTTGCAAGAAAAGAATTATTAGGAAAAAGAAAAAGGACTAAAGACAGAGCTTATGGTGTCATGGCCTGTGGATATGGCAGGAATTGGTAGCGGCCTTAGCAATTATATCCATTAAACCACAGGATGCATTAGCACCGACACTACCCCTTCCCCAGCAAACTGACATAAAGGAAACTAAACATGCCTAAGCTACAGCATTACAAACATTTTGCTATTGCCTCCCATTTTCTACTGGGAGAAATGGACTTGAGCATTTTAATATGCTATATAGTATTGCCTTCTGGACAATGCTTTGAACCTGTTGAAAGCAGAAAGAAAACCTATACACAAGGATTTTATACAATACTGAACCAACAGGACTTTTAACCACTAGGAATAACACACCTTGAGATTCCTTCACCTTAGATCATGAAGCTTTCCAAGTAAACTGATATCCTGTTAGTTGTAGGAGTAGGCTAGCAAAACTTTACACTGATTCTCTCCTGGATCCAACTGCAGATATCCTGACCCATGGTGCACTTCCATACAAGTAGGTTTCACTGTGAGTCCAGCTCTCCTCTTTAATAAGTCCTGTATTTCCTGGAGAGCCCCTGCCCCAATACCCCACATCCCACCCACACATCCCTCTCCTATATTTCATACCCATTTGCACATCCTGGATCTAGCTCCCCTCCACTCTCAGAAGAGTCATACAAATGGTGTCATCACTGCAGAGGAGTGGCGTAGTCCTTGGATGGCTGCATAGGGCCCCTGCTGAAAGTAGTGATGGTATCGAGGCATGTGGAATGAAGGGAACGTGGGACCACTTCCCTGCATGGAGCTGGCAATGGCAGATGGGGTCAAAGGCATTCCCAGGCGGCTATATGGTGGCAGAGAACCTTGTATAGGGTGAGGAATGGGTGTCGCTATGGATGCTGTGCTGGTGCCAAGAGCAGTCAGGGTCTGTGGATGCTGAAATCCAGGAAAACTGGAAGAGGATGATACCCAGGTACTGAGAGACAAATTGTCAGATGTTGTAAAGGCTGATCCTGAAAGAAAAGCACTCATTAGTCTCAGGCTGCTATGTAAATATAATGATGAAGAGCTAAAGATCAGTTTATTTTCTTTCCTTGTTGTTTTGAGATAGGGCCTTATTTTGTAGCCCTGGCTGTACCACAATTCAATTTATAGACCAGGATGGCCTCACACTCACTGAAATCTTGCCTGCCTTTGCCTCCAAGTGCTGGCATTAAAGGCATGTGCCATTGTGCCCAGCTTAAGATCAGTTTATTTCAAAATAAATGCTAATGCTCCACACTAAGAGTAGTTGAGCAACACAATTGGGTCTCATTTTTTAAAGAAGGGGTTGGACAGCTGACTCAGCAGTACATGATACACATACATACACACATACATACATACATACATACATACACACACACACACACACACACACACACACACACACACACACACACACAGGCAAAGCACCCATATACCCCCCCACACACACACACAGGTGGGGCACCACTGGCCTCTCTTTTCTGTCTTCCCCTTCTCTCTGACTTCTGTGCACTATCTTTTCTCTGAGCTTTCTGCTCAAGGAAACTTCACTCAGTTCTTTTGTGTTTTGTGTTCCATGAGCATTATGTATTAAACAACCTCAAATGCCATTTCCCCACCCCTTTTTTTGAGATATAGTCTTTCAGTATTCTGGAGCTCACTTAGCAGGCCAGGTTGGGAAGCCTGTGAGTTTAGGGATATTTGCCTGTCTTTGTTTGCCCAACACAAGGAATTACAAGTCACCAAGCCATCTCCCCAACACTTTGTTTAGTTCTCTCTTCAACTATTAGGGCCAGTGGTGGCCCTTTGCTGTGATAATCCTCTTTTTAAAATATTCTTCATTTTGAACTTTGATCCTTATAAGATATCCCTAATTTTCAAATAAAGCTGAGATTCAAAAATAGTAAGAAACTGTCCAGAAGTGTGACTGGTGGCTCTTTGGCAGTAAATCACAGACAAGCCCTCCTCTACCCTGATTCAAACGCTTTGTGTTTTGTTACTAACAAAACACACCACAGGCAGAATAGCCACTCAAGCAAAATAACGGGGCATACATGGATCAGCATTGGAGACTGCCTCTTCTAAAAAGCCTGGAAGCCAGTTATTGGCATGTGTTCCCAGAGGACCAGACATCAGCATCCTGCCTTCATTCCATATCAAGTGCTCTGGCCTCCCGCAGCCCCACATCTCCAAATGATAGCCTTACCTCGATTTGGAGTTGTCTGGCTCTCTTCCCCCAGTACATCCTCTTCTCCGTAGGTGCGGATGGGAGAACGGGCATAGGAATGCTTCTGGATCAGGCTCTCCACACTCTCCCTGTGGAACAGAGGGGCACATCACAGTTCATTTCAGAGAGGGGTTTAGGGGTAATTCACTATTTTCTCAGTCAAAGGGAAAGACAACATTTAAAGCTTATATGTTCACCCACTATACAGAGACTTCTAGGACTTGAGCTCAAATGCTTAAGTGCAAATAAATACAACTAGACAGAACCAGAAAACACAGAGCAATGAAATATGGTCATAGGCGGATGGAATTCAATGAAGCAAAAAATTAATGAATGAATTTACTATAGGATGGCAATGAATCTTGTTATTAAATTTGGCAAATAATGATTCAAAACAGATATGAATTGATTCAAATGTACTGGCCCAGGACATGATAAAATATTGGGAAAAGTTCATAATATCAGTCAAAATGACTTAGTGTTCACTAACAATGCAACTGCACAGAGCACATGGCAATATGAAGTGTCCAGATAATGGATATGGCAGATCTTTGTTGTATTGAAACTGAAAATTACAGAAAAGCTGTGAAGGGAATGTGAGCAGTCATTAAGAAGTCGAGACCCTCAGAAACGTTGGTCCATTGTCTTTGAAGAGGGTCTCCTAAGAGTGCAAATAACTCTTTCAAAAAAATAGTTGTAACCTAAAGACAACACCAAATTAACCACCAATGGGTCAAAATTCATACTTTTTAAAAATTGAATGGAATAAGGAGAAGCCAAACTCCCAACTACATACTGAAGAAGTAAGGAAGTAAATTAAATGTCACAGTAGCTCTTCAATGTAACATTTGACATTTCACATAGATATATCCATACTTGTGAAAAATACTATCTAATTAACAGTGTGTTTGGGGTCCTAAATGGTTACATAATCATGACAGTGTGAGGGGTCTTATTCCCAACAGATAATGGGGAGTCCCCACTTCTGCACTTTCTAATGTTTTCTTGATCTCTATTTGTGTATCATCACACCAAAACCACAATGCCCTAATTTGCTGTTGCTGAATTAAAGTCTTAAAATGAGTTTTCACCAGTACCCTCAACTTGTTCTTTTTCAAAATCATATTGGTCATTCTAGTTCCTTTATTTCCATATAACTTTAGTATTCAATGATTTATTTTTAAGCGTACTGAAATTTTAATCAGGATTTTGTCTGACATGTACTTCAATTTAGGGAGAATTGGCATTTATAACATTGAGTCTTTTTCAACCCACAAACAGTATGTCCTTCCATTTACTTATCACCAAAGCTAAAGAGATTTAAATATACAGGCATGACACACCAGAGCCACATTTATATCAAAACTTTTCATGTTCTACTAAATTCTTTTTCATCTCAATTTCCAATTTTTCATTTATAGTAGGTATAAATGTAATTTTCTTTTGCATGCTGATCTTGTAACTGGCAGCTTTCTTAACATATGTATCTGTTCCTGTAGCTCTTTTCAAGATTTGCATTTTGCATGCAATCATACTATCTATGATCAGAAGTGATTTCAATTCTTTGCTTCTATTCCACAGTTGACTGCGGCATCCATAATTACCTGCACAGCTCTGAATAGAAGTGGTCAGATCCACTTAATGAGCTCTTACACAATGTGCATAACATGAGCCCCTGGAATTTCATGCATGTCTTTCATTGGACTTGGCTTAATGAAATTCAAAGAACTGGTCCCTTCTCATCCCATACTGCAGAGAAGATTTTTTAAAATAAGGAATAGATAATGTATTTTGATTTTGTTTTTCTTTTCTGTTTTTCTTTCTTTTCTACTAAGATAATCAAATGAGTTTTCTTTTTTAGTGTGTTAGTCTAATCAGTTTTGTTGGGTGAACTTCTAGTGTTAAGCTAACTTTGTATTTCTGAGGAAAACTCCAGTTGGTCATATTAATGTCCTTTTGTTGAACTCAATATCCTAGAATTATTTTAAGATTTTTCCCATGTATATTCAAAAAGGAATATTAGACCCTGATTTTCTATTATACTATCTGTCTTTCTTCAGTCTTAGTCTTAAGGCAACAATGTTCTCATAGCTTCATTGTTAAATTATCCTTGGTTTCTTTTCCTGTTGCTGTGATAAAATAGCCTACCAAAGCAACCTAAGGGGAAAGGGTTTATTTTAGATCATAGTTCACCATCCACCATGACAGGGAAGGAAAAACAGGATGAACCTGGGGTAGCAGGTCATATTGTAGTCAAAGTCAGAAAATAAAGAGACGCACCCATGCTGCTCACTTACACAGTCCAGGTTCCCATCTAGGGAACGGTGTCACCTCAACCACAGTAGAGGGGTTTGCAATTAATGCAATCAAGATAATCATGTTTGATCTGAGGACTATCTCCCAAATGAGTGTAAGTCTTGTCAAACTGACAGTTAAAACTGACCCTCACATACCACTTCCTTTCAGTTTTCTAGAAGAGCTTGGGAGTTTGTGCTATTGTACACTCTTTAAATATTTTGTATAAGTCACTGGGGGCACCTTAGCATTTATGGAAATGTTAATTACAAATTCATAGCTATCAAATTATGTTTCTTCTTGAATGACGTTTTCATGGGTTTTGTCTCCAAAAAATGTATTACCTCATTTGAATTGTTGAAATTGTAAGTATGCTGATTATTGTACTATATGATAATATTCCTTTATTGCTCCCTGTCTTAGCTTCTTGTCTTTTTGCTGAAATAAAATATTCTGACAAAAGCAACTTACAGGAGAAGGGTCTTCCCATCTCAGTTAATGTAATCAAGATAATCCCCCACAGGCATACCATAGACCAGTGGTTCTCAACCTTCCTAATGCTGCAACCCTTTAATACAGTTCCTCATGTTCTGGTGAACCCCAACCATACAATTAATTCATAGCTGTAATTTTCTACTGTTAGTGAGTTATAATGTAAATATCTGTGTTTTCTGATGCTCTTAGGTGACCCCTGTGAAAGAGTCACTTGACCCCCAAAGGGTGGAAACCCACAAGTTGAGAACTGCTACCGTTGACCAACCTGTTCTGGACAATCCTTCATGAAGGTTTCATAGATTAGAGATTAGGCAGATTCAACACCAATATTATTCCCCACGTGCTTAGTAATGGAGATTGTGTTTTCTTCCTGATCAGTTTGACTGGGGGAATGTCAGTTTTATTAATCTCTGCATTACTGTCCCACTATTTTCTCCCCTTATTTTCTCCCTTTTTTTCTTTTACTTTGAACCTGAAATCTTCTTTTCCTAGTTTCTTTGAGATTGAAGATGTGGGTCATTGGCCTTAGACATTGCATCATTTCTAAAGGAAGACTATACTACTCAGCATCACACATGTTCTCCTTTTCCTTCAGTCCAAAATATTTTCTAACTCTCCTGATATTTTCCTCATTTATGCCTGCTATATAGTTTACAATATTTAGGGATTTGACAAGGTATCTTCACATTAGTGATTTCTCACACTGTTTTTATTGTCAGAGATAGGTTTCACCAGACTCACGTATCTATTACTTTATTGAGCCTCATTTTATGGTACACATCTCAGTCACCATGGTAACTATCTGTCACACAGAAGGCATAATCCACTATTGTTGAAGGGGGTGCTTTCTAAATGTAAACTGGGTCAGGATGGTTAAGAGTTGTTCAAATATTCTGACTCCTTTCTCGTTTTTTGCTTGCTTACTCTGTCAGTTGTTGAGAGAGAGGCATTGACATTTGCAACTCTGGTTGGTTGGTTGTCTGTTTCCCTTGTAAGTCCTCCCAGGCCCAGAGTTCTGATATCGGATATATAAACAGGTATAAGAGAGTGCACTCCTGAGAATGAGATGATTTTTATCCAGTCAAACCTACTTTGATATTAATACAGCTGATCTAGTTTTCTTCTTTTTTTTTTTCCATTTTCTTTTCTTGAGACAGGATTTCATGTAAACCAGGATGTCCTAGAACTCCCAAACCACTTTCCTCTGCTTCCTACATGCTGGGACTTGAGGCTTGTGCCCTCATGCCCAGCTAGTTTGGTCTTTTTTTAGTGTTGACTTTTTACACTTGCTTTCTATTACTTTACTTTCAATTCATCTCTCTACGATTTAACATGTTCTTTATGGGCATCAATCCAAAACGTAAGCCTCTGCCTTTTGATGAGGGTGCCTAGCCTATGAGCAGGTGATGCTCCTGGCTGGCTGCTGCTTTTGTCTAGTGCTTTGTTGTTTTTGTTTGTTTTCTTCTGCATTTTGCTCTTGTGTTTTCCCAGATGTTCTTAACCTTTTCCTCTTTCCCATAAGGTTACAGCTTCATAGTCCCTCTTTATCTCCTTTTCTTGTTTAGCATTTACAGCTTCCTTCTGTTATTTCAGCGATTGTCTTCACAGTTATAGTAAATATTTAATTTGTCACAATCTACCTTGAAGTGATATTACACCTTTGAAGGATAGCAGAAGAATCTTACCAGTTCCCAGCACTTAAAACCTTGCAGTTAAATATTTAGTTTTCCCCTTCTAGCTTTGTGCTATCATTTTTTTTTTCAACACACTGTTTTCCTGTGTGCCTTTGGAGCCTGCCCTGGAACTAGCTCTTGTAGACCAGGCTGGTCTCGAATTCACCTGCCTCTGCCTCCGAAGTTCTGGGATTAAAGGCATGTGCCACCACCACTCAGCTGTGCGCCGGCTTGAAGGACTTCCTTTAACCTATCTGTAGAGCAACTTGAGGATGATGATGTCATCAGCTTTCACATGTCTGGAAAAAACCTTTGCTTTTCTTTTGCTTTTAAGAAGTCATTTTGGTGGTTGTTCTAATTCTAGCTGACCGACTTTCCCCCTCAGTTCTTCAAAGATTGTGCCTTATTCACAGGAACTCATCATAGTCCTTAGTTTTGTTCCTCTGACGTAATGTCTTTAATCCCCTCAGCACTTCCAATATTTCCTTTTGTCATTGATTTCCAGCCATTTTGTTATGATGTAACTTTCACTTTCTTCATGCTTCTTGAGCTCAACCTTGTTGGACCTTTTGGATTGTGTGTTTAATTGTTGTTAAATTTGGGAAAAATGCATTTCTTTTCACATC